CCAAAGCTCTCTCTCAGAAAATTAGGGTATCACATTAGACCAATAAAAAGGATTTTAATGCAGAAATGGAGTCCTACTGACAGTATGCCCATGTACTGTACATGGGCTGTACTTGGTTGGGCTCTTTTAATATGAATTACAGCATCAATCCAGCATAACATGGAAGTAATCAGACTGTGGTTCTGCTCAGAGCTTCAGGAATCCCATAGTGCTTTAGCAGGGAGGGGTCTTCAGCTCATCTGTGTTCTTGGTTCTTAGGTCTTTCACGTTACTGAAAATAATAATGAACAAGTGAAGATGAAAACACAACTCAAACCGTAACATAATTTATTGTTCATAAAGGTCTTAAACAATGGATTACACTGATACCCAGCCAACATCCTCACCACTGTCTTTCTGGATATCTGAAATCTGATGTAGAAAGGGCCCCCCTCCAAAATGCCTCTGTCCCCCACATGGTAAAATACTTTAAAGCGCCATAACCAATAAAAATAGATGCATCAAAAAAAAAAAAAAAAAAAAAAAAAAAACCTGAACCAAAATTTAGATTTAAGAATTCTTCAATATTTCTGTGACCTGTCTGTCATATGTACTGAGATCATGAGTGTTTTATCATTGTTGGAGATTTCAACATCCATGTTGACCTCCAAGACAGAGGGGCAAAAAGAACAATGTTATACAAAAGCATTGACTTGAGACAGCATGTCAAACAACCAACCCACAACCCAGTACACATTCTGGACTTCATTATCAGTATGGTTCTATTTTTTCTCTTTTGTCTGTCCAAAAGCCTTAACACATTTAAATGAAATGTATTTATATAGCACCAATTCACAACAAATGTCCAATTCACTTTGTAAAAAATTATTTCAACTCAATTACACATACATTCCAACTGATCCTAGTTATGAAACACTACAGTATGATCAATTAATAATTGTTATAATTGTTTTAAATATATATATATATATAATATAAAAAGCAGCAGTTTGCATCAAGTCATTGACTTGGAACATTTACTCCTCCTGGACTTGCATTGTGTTGTTGATTTTACAGCAGTCTCTCATACAGAACATGCATGTAGCAACAGTGGAGAAGAAAAACTCCCTTTTAACAGGAAGTAACGTCCAGCAGAATCAGAACCTAGCTCAGTACACAAAAAGGAAAACAACTGAACTGATGTAGGATTATTTTCAATCTTCATGAAGGTAAAAAGTTAATATTAGAAGAGATAATATTAAATCAGACTGATCTGATTCTAAAGAACATTATTGACTTCTTTTGAAGTTTTGATTTCTTCTTCTCCCCATCTTTCCCACATCCACATTTGCAACAACAGTTTTCCCTTAAGTCATCTTTTAATGTCTGTCCTTTTGCTTTTGACTATTTTCCTCCAGGAGAAGGGCATCTAGCCACTACTCATTATCAGGAAGCAATACGACTTAAGCCAGCACATTATGTTGCTATGGTGAACCTGGGCCGTCTTCTGCGATCATCCAATGAGAATGAGGAAGCTGAGATGTGGTACAAGAGGTGATAAACAGCTTTACTTCGAGTGGAAGCTGCTGTGTGTGTTTACTTTAACTGTGCTAGAAAGGGAAATGAAGGATGAAACTTCCTTTTTCTGAAGGGAGCTATCAGATCATGTCATGGTGCTCTGAATGACTGCTGTGTTTTCATTACAACAAAAATAAAAAAACAATATTTTGAAATGTTCAGTCATTCTTAATAAAACATAGTGTTTCACTGTTTCCGATGATGCCAAGTATTTACTAAATAGCAGCTTTGTACATTTAGACAAACTGGACAGACAGATTGGAGAAAAGTTACCTATGTTACCTACTGAGTGTCGATTTCAGCTGCCACGTGCAGCTAGTGGAGTCAGAATCTTTTTTAAACTACATAAAATCTAAGTTTGTGAAACAAGACTGAGATTGTTATATTCCAATGTTCTCCACAGCCACCAGACCTCAGTGCTTAATGTTATTCTTCATAAAGAAGGCAAAATGAGGGTTTCATCAGTTTTATTTATATTACTACTCACTGACCTGGACCAAACATGCCACCTCTGAGGAAAGGTCTTGCTTTCGTTTTACTGGCTCATTCAGTTTTGAACCAGTACAGCGTGACCTGTGTAGGACTCATATGTTTAACAATGTTTTTCTAAAGTCTAAATGCAAATGAAAGAGTGTCTAGTTACTTGCAGACTATGTAGTCACATTCATGAAAAGCTAAAATGGTGACCTCTGACCTCTGCAGGGCTCTGCTGGTTACCAGGAAAGTTGACATCCTGACTCCTCTTGGAGCGCTGTACTATAACACAGGCCGCTATGAGGAGGCACTGCATGTGTACAAAGAGGCTGCTGCCTTGCAGTCAGACAGTACTGACATCTGGCTGGCTTTGGTAAAAAAAACAACAAAAAAAACACACACAACCCATTTTTTTGCTTATACTTATTTCCTTACATACAGAATTGACACACCTGTTATCTGCCCCAGGCTCAGGTCCTGGCCATGGCTGGGCAGAGCTCAGAGGCAGAGAAGATGACCTTGGACATCATCTCCAGAGAGCCCACCTGTATTGAATGTTACCGCCTGCTCTCTGCCATCTACAGCAAGCGTGGCAACTACACAGAGGTGTGTATGTGTACCTCTATTATTATTCATTTGTATTATATTTCTTTTTCCAATCATAGATATTGGTAGTGGCATCCATCTCTCAAATGAATTATTGACTTCATTTAATATGAGTCTGTAATTGATCTCAGCTACCTGTTGAAGATCTGAAGAAATGTATTCCTAAATATTTAAATTCTGTCACTATCTTAAACTGTAACATATCTGAACTAAAAGAACAGATGATCTAGTTTTGTTTATTTTGTGTCCAGATATCTCACAAAATAATTTAATTATTTCCTAAATAATTTTTATTGCTTAACTTTGATATGAATAAGATGTCGTCTGCGAACAGGAAGCTCTTGTGCTCTGTGGGTCCGACAGTGATTATTACGATAGCAAATGGCTCTATTGCTAGAGTGAACAGCAAAGGCAATAATGGACAGCCTTGTCTGCAGCCTCTATTGATCCTTATTGGCTTAGATACATTTCTGTTATATAAATCTAAGTCTAGTTATTATTTCAGCTCAGGGATTATTGTATAAAATTTTGACCCATTTTACAAAATTGTTTCCACAGTCAAATTGTTCCATAACAACAGAGCGAGGTTCAGCACGTCTTCCTACGTGTCCATGGCCACCATAAGCAGAAGTCACTTAATTTTATTTTCTGTGATTTTGTGATTGTTGCAAAGCACCTTGGTCAGCTGAGGTTGTTGTAAATATGGTATGTAAATAAACTTTGACTTGACTACATGTCAAGTACAGTGGTTCGGTTGTTTCACAGCGTTTGTGATTTCTGTCACAAACCATCAACTCTCAACAGTGGTTGGGTTCTGTTCCTGCAGTTTCCATGGAAACAATCAAGTTATATCAGCAACCAACTGTTATAGAGCAGCTGCCACTCATCTTGTTCCTCTGCTTTCACGCATTCTATTTCATAAAAATCACCATGATTTTAACAGGCATATTTGCTGCTCATCATGATAAAATTGGATTTATGTTTCTGCTGGGACTATGATGGACATACATAGTCCCAGACATACATGAAAATGGTCAATCAGTTTGCTGTAAAGTGCTTTGAACAGTTCAGCAGAACTAATAAAGATGGAGTTTGTGCTTTTGCTTCAAGTTTCTTTGTCTTTTTAGTCTTGCAATGACAAGTCTGACTTCATCGCTTCTTTTTGTTTCTCACTCTTTTGACAAACTATCTGGTAAATGTAGCAGATATGTAACCTTATTCATTGTGTGTGTGTGTGTGTGTGTGTGTGTGTGTGTGTGTGTGTGTGTGTGTGTGTGTGTGTGTTGTGCGTGCGTGCGCGTGTATGTGTGTGTCAGGCTTTACTGGCACTGGACATGGCACTGCAGCAGAATCCCATTGATCTGACAGTGAGGGCAGAATTGCATTTCTCTAAAGGAAACCAGCTGAGAGAGATGAACCAGCTGAATGAAGCCTTTGAGGTAATGTCTATTCCCCTCTGTCTTTTTTCAAATTACTCTTTCCCATGTTTCCCTGGTGTTTTCGGTGTCAATTTATACCCCATGGTGAAAATGAAGTGTGCTTTCTTCAAATTTAAGGTTTTACATTTCAGAACATAATAAGAGCCGTACTCCCACCACAAGCACTTCTGTTCTGATTTTACATCATTGCCAAAATTATTAAAGTTTAAGAAAAGGTGCATCTCTTCCTCCCTCTCCTTGCAGACACCACATTTGTTGCGGCTCACAGTGTCTAAATTAGACACTCCATCACCTGATGGATAGCAACAGCAGTATGGTGCAATGGACAGGGGTACGCATGGGACATGTCTCCCAACCTTCCCATATCTATGCCCTCTGTCCACCATATTTTTCCCAGCTGTTGCAACTGTTTAATCTATTGGAAACATGTGGCAACATGTTTTTCTGAGGTATATTTAAATATAAGTATGCATGTGTATGTAATACATGCTAACGCTGGTATTATCCATGTGAATCACTGAGGGGTGATGTGTTACTGAGCAATGCTGGGCAGT